ACTTTTTTTGCCCAGTAATTTAACAGTATTTAGGTATTTAGTCGGTCTTAAAGGAGTTTGTTTGTTGGGTAGGATGGACGTTCTGATAATGGCTTTTGCTCCTCTATCTTGTTTTTATTTTTCTTTTAAAAAATTTTTCTTTTTTCTTCCCCTGTTATTATTGGAGGTATGGTTTTGGGCCTTTCTTTTTTTTTTTTTTTTGGTCCTAGACCTCATCATCATGATCACTGTGTGGAGTTACTACTGTGAGGATAAAACAGTGAGTTTAGTTGACTTTATCAACCGTTTTTAAAATCAGATTTTTTTAATGATGTAGAGTTTTTGGGTGATTTCAGTTTATTTGATGTTGCTGTGAGTTTGTTACCCTGAGTAATTAAAATCTGCCTTAACCCAGGATAAAGATGTTCTCTTGAGAAATGAGTATTATTTTGAAACATTGTAAATAAAACTAAACATTCAGTTATTCTTGAGGAATGGCCATGTATTTTCTGGAAGCTTGTTTGGAATCACAATTGTTAAAAAGATTCAGGGAAGTAATTGCACTCTAAGTTCGATTTTGTAATTTAGAGGTATAGTTTCGTAAGTATTCATCAATTATTCCTAATTCCTATTCTTCAAATAATTGAAATACATGTGAAATGAAGAGAAAAAAATTGAAGCTGAACTTTTTTGTCCAACATAATTCCAATGGAACTGAGATGCTAATTCTTAGAGCTACATCTATATTTTCAAGTACATCAACTTTAAGTAGAAGAAAATATTGAGGAAAACATAAAAAAAGTTTTGACATACTTTTCCTTTTAAATAGATGAAGAACTTCCTGATTACATTATGGTGATGGTGGCCAACAAGAAAAGTCAGGACCAAATGACAGAGGACCTTTCCCTGTTTCTAGGGAACAACACAATTCGATTCACCGTATGGTATGTTTCTGAATATCTACGCCTCAGACCAAAGTTTGGCACAAGTCACACTAGATATTCTGTCTGGAAAGAGGTTCTCGGTACTCAAATTACAGTCACTTTGGAGAGGTAGTTTGTGAGTGATGAGCACAGCCTCTGGAGCCAGCCAAGGTTTAATCCTGGCTCTGCAGCCTGCCTCAGTTTCTCCATCTGTAAAATGGGAATAGTAGATTACCTTTATAGAATTGTGAGGATTACATGAGCTAATACATGTAAAGTGCTTTCAGGTGTGCCTGGCCCATAGGTGTTTTTAGTATATGTCAGCTGTAATTATGTTTCCTTCCTAAACTTCTACAGCTTATAGTTCCTTACCCCACCTCACCAAAATCAGCTGTATGTGCTTGCATTGAATTGGTTCGTATATTACTTTATCCAATGAGCTATTAATACTTCTCATGGGGTAGGGTTTTTTGTTTTTATTTTTTAGCTTTTTAAGTTTTAACTCATGCCTTCATTTGACAAATATGAATCTTAAACGTCTTTAAACTTTGGAATTTTAAAATAGGCAACTTTGTTTCCAAATATATAAATTACTATTATAATTTTGATTGTTCTTTTTCAAACCACATATGCCTTCAGTTGAGAATACTGATTAAAAGTATAAGATTAATTTAAGAAGGCCAGGCAGGTTTGAGGTAGAGTGAGGGTAGGCAAGGGTAATGATGTGGCTGCATATAGAAGCAGGAAATACTCATGTAAAGGCCCTCAGACTAGGAACCACCAGTTATAGTGAAAGTTGGTGACAGAGCAAAAGTCAAGTGAGCAAAGGGCCTGCTCAGTTTGCGTGGCCAGAGACTCATAGAGGGTTTAGGAGGCACTAAGGAGGGGGGTGATGCTGGTTAACTCCTTGCCTTTATACCAGCGATTGTCTTCAAGGTGTTTTTGCCCCAGCAGGCAGCTGTACACTTTACAGCTCTTGTGAAGCCTTCTGCACAAAAATTCTCTGGTTTATACTGTATAATTTTGAAGATGATCATTAGAATGAGGTGGTCCTCAGGTGTTATGACACACTCACTGCTTCAGGGTGGCTGACCTAACCCATTTATTACAATTTGTCCCTGAAGCATAGCCAAAAAAAAAAAAGATCAAAAAAGGTACTTTTGACTGAGTACTTTTTTTCCTTTTATAAGTCTTCAGCAGTCCTGGTATTTATTTTGTTCATAGATATTTTTTATGACTTGACCTTAGTACAACCTTTGGATCACACTGGGTTTGAGTCCAGCTAATCTGAGATGGGAGAGTGACCTACTAGATCCTTTCTCTGATAACTTGATAGAATACTTTAGACAGATTTCTTAGACTACTTATGGAATCTGAGTTTAACATCAAATTAATTTAATTTTCTCATCTTGCCATAAATTCAATTATTTAACATGTACTGATGGAAGGGATGATATGTCTCCATATTGGCACTTTGCTTTCCTAAGTTAAGTATTTATTAACATCAACCTCAATCAGACTATCTTTTTTTTTTTTTTGAGACAGAGTCTCACTTTGTTGCCCAGGCTAGAGTGAGTGCCATGGTATCAGCCTAGCTCACAGCAACCTCAATCACCTGGGCTGAAGCGATCCTCCTGCCTCAGCCTCCCAAGTAGCTGGGACTACAGGCATGCATGCGCCACCATGCCTGGCTAATTTTTTGTATATATATTTTTAGTTGGCCAATTAATTTCTTCCTATTTTTAGTAGAGACGGGGTCTCGCTCAGGCTGGTTTTGAACTCCTGACCTTGAGCAATCCGGCCCGCCTTGGCCTCCCAGAGTACTAGGATTATAGGCGTGAGCCACCACACCCAGCCAAAAGAGACTATCTTGATTCTTTGGAGCCATGAAATTGCATCCTCGGTGACAGTGGCATGTGACTAGGGTTCTTAGTAAAACATAATGAGATTTCTGGTATTTTTGGGAAGTACCACCTCTTGAGAGGAATGCAAGGCAAATTTGCCTTGTATTAATATAAAACTACTAAAATAGGTTATGTTATAAGCAAGGCTGTGGCCTGTGTTTGCTTATAGCATCACTTTTGAAAATAATAGTTATAGTGAAATGGTATAGCATTTTTTGAAATTATTGGTAACTTTTTGTATATCTCAGAATTGAGTTGCTCAAGGAACCATATAAGTAGGTAAAATACACACTGTGCTAAAACAATTATAATAAGCAGTATTATGTGGGTGGGATACTTAATCTTGTTTTACTGTAGCTATATAGAGTCTTTAGGAAATACGGTGATATTTTTTGTAGAATAAGACTCTGGTCAGATGTATTTTGCCCTTAGATTTGCAGAGGCTAGATGTTGAAAAAAGTGAAGGGGAAAAAATATGATTGTTAATTGACTTCTATGATATTCATACAAAGCCTTTTTTAAAAATGTGAGATATGAAACTTAATTTTAATACTGTTAGATACCACTTACCAATATTTATCTAAATACAGTGTCATCAGATTTAGAGTGGCAGTTCAAATAAAATTGTTCTTCAGGAAGGCTTCATTTTTGTTTTTGATTTGTTTTTTAGGCTTCATGGTGTATTAGATAAACTTCGCTCTGTGACAACTGGTAAGATTCATGACGTTTGTTGTGTTTTTTGTTTTTGAATTTTTGGGGGGAGGATATTCCTACTTGCTATAGCATATGATTTGTTTCTTCCTAAAGTCATTTTTAATGCCTTGGGAAAAAACTTTATAACTTTGATAACAGTGTTTCATTTGAACTTTTTAAGGAAGCACATAATTTTTATGAGTTAAAGAGCAGTAATTTTAATATAATTCAAAGATAATTTACGCAGTAAAGTGGGAGCAGTGTGATTTATACTAGGGAAATAATTAATAGATGAGTGCAAAGATTTAGCCTCAAGGATGTTTCAGAATTTTCTAATTGAAAATTAAAAGTCTAGTAATAAATTGAATAATTTATTATACTATATATGCAATAATCAGCTATTAACCACTTCGGTACGGCGCTCACCGGCGGTGAAACCTTGCCCACAGTCAGCACTCATAGTCCACACGATAGTTTGTGTTGTGCATTGACGACGAATCCATTTTGCTCTTATGTGATGAGGAAAGCTTTAAAGCACTAAAAACTTGTTTTACTTTACAGGCAGCTTTACTTGTAGCGTAAATCAGAATAGGTAACATACATACATGTTTTTATTATGTTATTTTTAAATGTTCACAATTTTATTTTGATAAGTGAAAAATTAGAAAAGTCATGTTTTGTTGTTAACACTAAAGTCAGTGCTCAGCTGTGCACGTTCATCTGTGGCTATCGACTATAGTCGACACTCGTACCGAAGTGGTTAAAATAATGTAGAAGAATAAATAACATGAGAATATATATACAAAATACATCTTAGTTTTCAAAACACGTGTATGTATACTCTTCCCCTAAAAAAGTCACCTTTGAGATAATTGGTGGTTTTTATTTATGTTTTTTAAATGTATCACTTGTATCACTTTTGAATTATTGATGAGGGAGGAAAAGATTTAAACTAATAAAGTTGAAGAGGACTGTATTTTTCTTTTCAGAACCCTCTAGTCTAAAGTCTTCTGATACGAACATCTTTGATAGCAACGTGCCTTCAAACAAGAGCAATTTCAGTCGGGGAGATGAGAGAAGGCATGAAGCTGCAGTGCCACCCCTTCCCATTTCTAACACTAGACCTGAAAAAAGAAATTCCAGAGTTTCTACAAGTTCACAGGAGCAGAAAACCACTAATGTCAGGTAAGAGTCCTGTGTAGACTTGTGAAATTTGCATTATTTTTATGTGTCAGGTGCTGTTTTCAGCAGTCTTTATTCTTTTTTTTTTCTTCCAAGGTCCAAGCATTCAGACCTATTTTTTCAGCAATTTTTAGAAATAATGAAATGATCATGAGCAGTTTCTGAATAAAATAATGGATAAAGACCTAAGTATATGATTATATTTTATCTCAAATGTAGTAAATCAAAGTTTAAAGAAAGTA